CAGCTCCTGCTCTCCCATCATCCTAAACAGTAGCGGTCTTTGTTCTGATGTGATCGAGGAGACGGAGGTGATCGAGAACAGTAATTGTTAAGGTGTCCGTCTTTCGGGGCGGTGTAGCGCGATTACGAACATCAGCCGCATAATGTATCGTCACTCAGCAGCGCTCATAATTGACAATGAGAGCAGATGATTCCATTTGCTCACGATTGGATCATCATCATCACACCGTTCCATACAAGGCATATGACTCATATTCGGTACCCTATTCAGAAGGAATTTCGGTAGACGGAGGTCTCGTCATTGTTCTGTGGCGGCAACACGTTGGTATACCAGCTCGAATGGACGTACAGAAACGGACACGGTATCATTTCTCGCAGTCAGTGGGGACGAAAGATAAATTTCTTTCGACGTTCTGGAAGTTTCAGGCTCTCTGGAGAATGCAGGTCCATGGTGTGAAAAAACGAGGCCCCCCGTTCTTGCACAGGGAACCAGGGAACCCAACAAATGGGCAGTCAGTCCGCAAAATTATTTTCGTAAACCGTTACTAGCCCGGAATATTTCGACCCTTTTTGGTCGCTGAATTTAGATAGAAGGTTCTGCTCGATATCAGGGTGAACGGAGATTCTGGGTAACTTCTATAGATTCTTGCTCAAAGCAAGAAAAAAGACAGAGCTCAAGAGCGCTGCCACAATCATGGCACCGAGAAAGTTTCCCACACCATAGCTCTTGGAACTTCTTTGGAATAACTGGAACTCGTACAGAATTCAAAACTTGAGGCAAAATCAAAAGTGAATACGGTTCAAGCCTCAACACGGCTCAAGGGATACGCTTCGTATATTTTGTTCCCTTTATGAGAAGCCTTCTCAAGCAGGCATGAAAACGCTTTCAGGTTCCTCCAAAATCCGGTCAGATTATTAACATTGGGCAATGGAAGTCGATAATGTTTTGAAATTTTGGAAAAAAGTGTAACGAAAGATGGAAGCCAACCCTCCGAAATGCCGAATTTCCTCCCCAACAGCTAGCCTTCCCTTCCACTGAGTACGATCCGAACAATGACTCTCTCAGGCTTGCCAAAGTCTTACAAGGAAGGTCTTTCAGGGTGTGCCAAGCTTTTTCAAAACGGTCTTTTGCATGATATAGGAGGCACATGCGGGAACCACAGAACCATGGTTAATTTTTCCTGAACGGCCCTCTGAATACCAGAAAAGGGGGTCCCTAGTCACACCTTTTTCACCAGTTTTTCAATCAAAGTCTATTTGTAAGGGTTACTGACGTTCCTAATCATGAATTTGGTACTAATTATTCATGCTAACTCCATTTTGCGCGAATTTGGAAACGTCAACACGAAATGCAAAAACTTGTCACCACGAGGAATCGAACTAGGGAGCCCTTTTTTGGTACTCAGGGAGCCGTTTAGGAAAAATCGACCATGGTTCTGCGGTATCATGCAATAGACAGTTTTAAAAAAGCTTGGCACACCCTGGAAGACCTTCCTTGTAAAACTTTGGCAAGCCTGAGAGAGTCATTGTTCGGATCGTACTCAGTGGAAGGGAAGGCTAGCTGTTGGGGAGGAAATTCGGCATTTCGGAGGGTTGGCTTCCATCTTTCGTTACACTTTTTTCCAAAATTTCAAAACATTATCGACTTCCATTGCCCAATGTTAATAATCTGAC